CTGGACTGCAAAGAGAACAAACCGATCCATTCTGAAGGAAATCAACCCTGAGTGCTCACTGGAAGGCCAGATCCTGAAGCTGAGACTCCATACTTTGGCCATCTCATGAGAGGACTCCCTGGAAAAGATGCTGATTTAGGAAAGTGTGAAGGCAAGAGGAGAAGGAGACGACAGAGGATGAGATGGTTGGACAGTGTCATCAAAGCGACCAACATGAATTTGACCCAACTCCAATAGACAGTGGAAGACAGGAGGACCTGGCGTGCTCTGGTCCATGCAGTCACGAAGAGTCGAACACAACTTAACGACTAAACAAACAATATACCTTTAGGACTCGTTGTTGTACCCCATCCTGAAACCAGGCATTTTGTCCCAGGCACAGGGCACGTGGTTGGCAAGTCAAGGATTTTGACATTGTTGTTCAAGCAGGCGGGAGTCAGCAGTTTAACAAGCATGATGTCGTGGTTTTTTGTTTGAGGATCATAGCTGGGATGCACAATGGCTTTAGATGCTAGTTTCAACTGTTCAGTCCAGTCCACACGTTTCAGATCATGCTCCCCAAGGCGTACAGGAAAAGGCCTGGAAAGAAACATAGAAAGACACATTGAGGAAAGATAGCCAGTCGCAGGTCTGTGAGCTTTACTGCTGGACTGAAACTTTATGCAGACTTCAAGAAGGGTTTATTTGTTCATGGTCTTGAAAAATGTAGTGCTTTAACTTATATGATTAGAAATGATAATCTTCGATAAAAGCTGTTGTTAAAACACAGAAGCAGCCTCAGTAGAAAAATAAAGTTGGAAAGGAAGGAGGTAAAACTCTGTGAATATTTTTTTTGCTTTTTCCTCTGCTAATGCATCAAGATAAGCACAAAAGCAAAGCTCCATCATAGTTTAGAAATTGTGTTCCTTCGTGTTTTTCAAAAGTTGCCATTATTAGAGGTGTGTTGTGTTGCTGTTTGTAATCTAAAGAGAGTGCCTCCTGCAGAGCCACCATGCCTGGGAAGCAAAGCCAGCAGGAAATGAAGACCAAGAAGAAAGTCTAGCTTGAAGGGGGACCTGCCTTTGTCCAGTTGACTGAAATGAAGGTGTTTCTGCAGGTACCGTATGTGTTTGCAAGACGGAATGCCCAGAACTCTACTTGGGGAATTCTCTGAGCATCCTGCGAGTTGGAATCCAAAAACCTTGAATGGCCTACCCTTCGTTATATGCTGGCTGGATAGCTCAGGGGTTTAAGTACAGTGGTGCCTCGCATTACGACATTAATTCGTTCCAGCGAAGTCGCTGTAGAACGAAAATGTCGTAATGCAAAAATAAAAAGCCCATTGAAACGCATTGAAGCCCCTTCAGTGCATTCCAATGGGCTGGAAACTCACCGTCCAGCGAAGATCCTCCATAGGGCAGCCATTTTCTGTGCCTGTGCAGCGAGGAATCCATCCCAGAAAACAGCGGGGAGCCATTTTATTTACCCGGCAGCCATTTTGAAACCGCCGATCAGCTATTCTAAAATTGTTGTTTTGTGAAGAATCAGTTCCCGAAGCAGGGAACCAATCATCGCAAAGCAAAAAACCCCTATTCAGACCATCGTTTTGTGATTGCAAAAGCGATTGGAAAAACATCGTCGTAATGCGGTTTCGTCGTAATGTAGGGCAATTGTAAAGCGAGGCACGACTGTATCCGGGTGCAGGACCAGAGGTTGGGTGTTCAATTCACCACTGTGCCTCCTTGAAGAGAAGAGCCAGCCTGTGTGGTCTTGAACAAGAGTGCCTTCAAAAGAAGGGAATAGTAAACCTGAGTATTCTCTACCTGGAAAACCTTGAAAAAGGGTCCCCATAAAACCAGAATTGACTTGATGGCACATTACTATTAATAGTAGTTGTTGGGTTTTCAAGTCACTCCCAACTTACAGGAACCCTAATAGGGGTTTTGAGGCATGTGAACCATTCAAGGACTGGTTTATCATTTCCGCCACCACTCCCAGTAGGTTTCTATGGCTTACCAAAGATTAAAACCCAGGTTTCTTGAGACCTCCTCTTGAGAGTCTAACTACTACATTACTCTGGCCTCTCTTTTTAAAAGTACAAAACAATTATAAAGTCAATCCCATTAAACCAACAACAATAACAATCTTTGACACTTCTAAGGACATCTTAATGACAGCTATCGCCAACCATGGTAGTGATTGTCACTTGAGATTACAAATGAGTAACTATCATGCATAGAAATCTAGCTACAACCAAACTCCATCTGTACTTCTTACATTTGTTTATCAGTTGCACTAGCTACTTTGGTTAGTATGCACATTTGATTCTTAAATAACTCTTTTGCCCTCTGCCATAACAGCAATATCCATGCACACACGCAGAAACATGTTGCAGCAGAGAGAGAGAGAGAGAAACGGAGGTGTGGCCCACACCATCAGTGAGAATAGGATCAGAGCTGAAAAAAATTACTTTTTAAAATAATAATCCCCACAATCCTCCAGCCATCCTGAAGATTCTGAGAACAGTAATCCAAAAAACCTTTTCTAGCTTTTGGATTTTCCGAGCATTGGAAACTGCAATTAATAACAATAATAATTCTGTGCCATCAAGCCAATTCTGATTTATAGCAACCCTTTTCAGTGTACTCTAAAGTGATTTACCATTTTCTTCTTTTGGGGGTGCCCTGGGACTGTGCAGCTTGCCCAAGAACACGCCGGCTTTTCTCCTAGGAGGCACAAGTGGGGAATCAAACTCCCAATCTCGGTCTCCTCAGCCACATACCTAAACCACTGAGCTATCCAGCAGTTCTCCAGATGATCAGCAATTTTGTCCTGTTCATTTTGGATCAGAAGGTTACAACATTTGCAATTATTTTTGTATGTTGAACAAAAATATAGTAAGATGTAAAAAAAACCCTAAATGTGAGAGAAAGCAGAGTTCTCCAGAGGATCGGCAATTTTGTCCTGTTCATTTTGGATCAGAAGGTTACAACATTTGCAATTATTTTTGTATGTAGAACAAAAATATAGTAAGATGTAAAAAAAAACCTAAATGTGAGAGAAAGCAGTACTGTACTGACAGATCAGTCAAAAAGTCTGTAAGTCAAGTCTCCATTGACCTACAGTGCATTGAAAACCGATTAATCCCGTAACAGGCCATTTTTGTTCCATTTTGGTTTTTTTCTGGTCTGTAAGTCAAATCTCAGTCTGCAAATCAAACTTAAATTTTGCGGCCAGAGAAGTCTGTAACTCAAAAAGTCTGTAAGTCAAGCCGTCTGTAAGTCAAGGGTCCACTGTACTGTACTGACAGATCCATCCATCTAGTCTATATTCTTCTTAAAGTGTGGCACCCAGCATTTGACACACAGTTTTCAAAGTTTGGAAAAGTTTCTATTTGGAACAAAACTCCTAGAATCCACAGCCAGTAAGAACAGTGGAAATGTAGTTGGAGGAAAGTACCTTTTCTAAGCTCTGTTTAATATCCACACAGGCACACACACACACATATACTGTATATACATACCCATCTGTACTTACGTTCTCATTTTACAATGGGCTGCACTGAGCACCCATGATCGGTGGATCAGGGTCCCTCCGCATTTCAGCCTGAATCCAGAAAACAGCCCAGCTTGCCATGGCTGGGAATTGGGTAGACACGGCTTCCCGCCAGTCACTCGTTCACTATCTGCTGCACTGGCTAGAACAACATAACCCAGAAATTTATTTATTATTTATTCATTTATTTAAAATATTTTTACCCTCCCTTTCTCCTAAAAAAGGACCCAACGTGGCTTACGTAAATCATTAAAACACAATATTAAAGCTAAAAGCAGTGAGTTATTCAAATATTGATCAAATTAATAACAAGATATTAAGAACGTTAGGTAAAGCATTATTTAAAACAGATTTAGAAGCGACAAAGTGCAAACCATCTCATTTGAAAACTTTTCCTCGACAGTCTGTCACTGCATGAAGAGAAAAGCCTTCGCCTGTTTGTGGACGGAGAGCAACAGAGGGAGGGGCTGGCCTCCCATGAACACCAGAGGAAGACTATAACTGGACTTTTCTGATAGTAAAGCTAAGAGAGGGAGAGATGGAGGCATTCTTGCAGAGAAGGATGAATTCATGAGAGCTTTTTAAAAGGGGTGCTGATAGTTTCTTTAAAAGGGGCATAATTATCCAGTTGCACTCACAGAACAAATACCCGGGGCTCCAGAAGGGACGGTGTGTATGTGTTAGTTTTTATGCATAGAGAGAATTGTAAAAAATAGTTACTATGATTTAAATAGTTATACAGTGGTGCCTCGCTTAACGATTGCCTCATTAAATGAAACCGCTATACGATGACTATTTTGCGATCGCTTTTGCGATTGCAAAATGATGTTTTAATAGGCAAAATTTGCTTCCCAATGATCGGTTCCCTGCTTCGGGAACCAATTTTTCGCTAGATGATGTTTTTAAAACAGCTGATCAGCGGCTTCAACATGGCCGCCTGCTGTGTAAAATGGCTCCCTGCTGTGTTTTTGGATGGATTCCTCGCTTTACAGGCACAGAAAATGGCTGCCCCATGGAGGATCTTCGCTGGACTGTAAGTTTTCAGCCCATTGGAATGCATTGAACGGGTTTTCAATGTGTTTCAATGGAATCTTTTATTTCGTTTAAGGAAGATTTCGCTCTACAGCGATTTCACTGGAACGGGTTATCCTCGTTAAGTGAGGTACCACTGTACATTGTACCACAGTGGGTAGGACAGTGGCCTCATGACCTCCCTGGCTGCTCGGTCAGCTCTCCGAGTACTAACAGTGGGTGCACAATTCTGAAGCTCCGGCTGCTCCCTTCTTACAGTTCTTGGGTTGGAGAGCTCATCACCTTCACACAGAGGCCTCTGCCTGATTAACGCTTTCCCAATTCTTGCCAATACAGTCTTTTCTTCCATAACGCCATCCAAATTAACATATATGTAGTTTATGCCAAGTCATGCATCCCTAGCTTGCCATTACCAAAGTTAGGGAAAGCCTCTCTCTCTTTTTGGCACAGAGTGCCCATGGTCACGATGGGAGATGACATCCTGAAAGGGAATTTCCCCCCTCTCATCAGACGGTGCGATCTGTCAGAGATACCGCTCGCATTTTGGACCACCTGCGGAGTGGTCTGGTGCAAACTCTTCTTGAGCCACCTCATCATGTGCCCAAGCTGGGTCTTTTTGGTCCAGCAGCAGAACACCTTTCAGACATGATCCTCAACCTCAGGCAGCTGATTATAGGTTGTCACTAAACAGCAGCCAGTTCTTTGCTATTTAATTTATTGTTGCTGTGTTTTTATTTTAGTACATAGCTTTTGCAATGTGCTGCTGAATTATTCATAAGTCTCTGACGTAGGAATGAGTGATCTCCAAAATGTTCTGTCCTCAGCTGCCCTGCTCAGCTCTTATAAATTCAAGCCTGTGGCTTCCTTTAGGAAGTCTGTCTACCTCAAATTCACTTATATCTACCTCAGGTGTCAAAAGAATATTGACTGGCACTCTTTAACATGATATGAGGGGAAGATACATTTTTTGTTATACTCCAGGGAGCAAAACGCCTTACATCGGCCCTGGATTCACTCCATATAAACCTAAACATTTCACCACATCTTTAAAAAATGCATACAAGAAAACAATTATTTATTTACTCAAGAAGATCTTACCAGCAGGTACAAGGCAGAAGATGGTCATCAGCAATTCCAGGAACATGGTGTTTGGAATTAATTCTTCCAGGAATCTCTTTCTTATCACCCCTGCAAAAATGAGAAAGGAATCAGTATTCTTTGAGAGCTGTTCTACCCATTACACAGAATGTAAAAAAAGACTGAAACAATCAAATGTTGGTCTGTACCATTTAAAACTACAGTACCAGGGGGACACTATAAGTTCATTGGTCATACACAGAAATGTTCCATGTACAGTGGTGCCTCACAAGACAATGTTAATTCATTCCGTGAAAATCGCTATTAAGCGAAAACATTGTCTTGCAAAACAGGTTTTCCCATTGAAATGCATTGAAAACCTGATCATCTGTTCCAATGGGAATGGATTGTCATCGTAAAGCAAAAATTGCCATAGGAAACATCGTTAAGCAAAATGCGGTTCCCAAGCGAAGACAGCCGTCTAACGAAACAGAGACCATTAAAAGACTCGTATAGCGAAGCAAGACCAAGCTGTCAAAAACATTGTAAAGCGAAAAACAGGGACCTAAAATTTAACCGTCTTGCGAGGCAAGGTCCCTAACATCATAAAGCCAAAATTGCCCATAGGAAACATTATCAAACGAAGCGCAAGATTGCTCCGAAAACCTCATTGTAAAGTGAAGTCGTCGTTATGCGAAGCAATCGTCTTGTGAGGCACCACTGTCTATGTAAGACAGCTAACTTGTTGCACAAAAGGTTTATGAAATACTGTATCCTGATAGCTAATTACTATAGTCAGAAAGTTATTAAAGAGAATGTAACATTAAAAATATGTCACACAAACATATGACAAAGTCTGTATTGGTACAATTCAGCAGGCATCTCCTTATCCTGCATAATAGGCAGAGTGCATAGCTTGGAAAAGCTATTACCTTGGAGGACAATTGAATCTTTCAGTCAGAACAAGCACTAGCCATGTTGGTTTAGTAACTTTGAGAACTATAGCTAAAGGAAGGAGAAAAGAACAATTCCACACCTTGGTAGAATGCCTCAGTTGCTAGTTTACTTGAAGAAACTAAAGAGAAAAGCAGCTCTATTTCCATTCATAGTAATTTCTGATCTTTACCTGGCAAATGAGACAGAATCTGACCTTTATGCTGATGATGCTAGGAACTAGACAAGGAGCGGCCAACCTATGGCGGAACTCTGAACAGCTTTAAAATATCCTGACTGAACAGAAAGCTACTTGATCAGTTGACCTAACAGGTGAGGGTAAAAACCAGATGTTACAGACAATCCAACATTGGAAGAGGAAAATCTTAACTGCTGAAAAAGTGCAGAGCAAGAGCTTTTCTCACTTCGTATCATTTCGAAATTAGCTTACTTTGTTGGTGATTAGTCTTCAAAACTTGAATACAGGATTCCTTTGAAGTAATTCCCAATCATGAAAACCTGCTCCGATTAACAACTCACCAACACTAACAGGCATCCAGTTCTGATGAAAGGCTATTCATAACATCTATTTCTGCCCTTAAGAATTATTTGTGCTCCATAGAGTGCAACAGAAAAGCAGAAATGCTATATCCCTTAGAGTCGTCTCTAAGCATCTCCTGACTGGGAAGTAAACACAGAGAACACCCTCCTTGTTTGCAGCTTACAGCCTGCCTAAATCGGTCCAGATTGCTATGTCAAAGATGAAGGTCTATTTGAAAAGACAGAGGGAATGACAAATTAGGGTGTCAGCCATCAGGGCTGAGACTGTCAGACAACACCCTCTGCCTCCAGATGAGGTTCCCTAGGAGGATGCCCCAGAAATAATTTGTTCCTTCCTTTCAAGGAAAGAACACACCTTTAATAGTGCCAAGTTACTAAGGATCCCACTAGCACCAACAAGAAAGCAATAGAAATGTTATGAAGTCTTACCCCAAGGCCAATGGCACCTAGCACTGCTTTGCAGGTGTCTGCTGGCTTTTATCTCAAGTCCTGCCCATATTAGATGAGGTTTAGTTGATGGGGAAATGCTTGTTAACACCCTTGTCTTGACTGTTGATGGCCGAGTGACTAGGACCTCATCCTTTGTTTGCATTATTCAAACTTCCTGATGTTATAAGAGGTGATTGTTAGAGAAGGCGGAAGATGCCTTCCAAAAATTGGCCACCTTGAGGGCGAAATAAGAGAACCTGCAACACCTGTACACTTTTTTTCCCTCTCTCTCTGTTGCAGAAATTGCCTGAATCATTTGCCTGGAGCATCAATCATGGGTCTGCTTGGTACAAACCATCCTGAAACCTAGACTGGCCCTCCAGTCAAATCTCAAGGCAGGATATTATGTAGGCTATGATTTCATTCATTCATTCATTCATTTTACTCATTCATTCCCTGCATGATGACCACTTCTGCCCCAGATAGCATTCAGAGTGTTCCATAGCCAGTCTCGATGGCCAGTAATAAAATGCTGCCGTTGTTTAGTCGTGTCCGACGCTTCGTGACCCCATGGACCAGAGCACACCAGGCCGTCCTGTCTTCCACTGCCTCCTAGAGTTGGGTCAAATTCATGTTGTTCGCTTCGATGACACTGTCCATCCATCTCATCAGTAATAAAATAGATTCACACAAAATCACTGAAAAGCACATTATATTTTCCCCAATCCCCTAAAAGCAGTCATAAAATCAGATAGCTAGAGTAAAACACCAATTAATGTCAAGATGCAACAATTAGTGCAAGATTCAGAGTGTGTGCTTTAATCAAAGACCATAGATGGCTAATCCTGAACCCTTTCTGTGGACAGGATGCAGTTTCTGTATCCAGAAGCACTGCACCCCTGAGAGCAAAATACTATCTAGTGGTATTCTAACCAGAGCTTGATCAGTCACTATTTGCCATATTAGCTTGCTTTTGTTTTGAACCTGATCACCTGGGAGGTAGCATGGCTTGCTTTGTATGCCAGATATCATAGGCCCATAGCACTGAAGACTTTGTGTGCCTGCAACTAGAGGAATATTGATAGAATGAGAATATTGGCCTTGTGATGTGACCCTGCAAGATTACACCCTTCTCTGGATGAATGTACCCATAACATGATACCTTTAGCAGAGGCCCTTCTGTATTTCCTCTATCCCATGAGGCTCAAGTACTGAAGACATGAGATGGGTTTCTTGGAAGCAGTACCTTCACTGTAGAATTCCCAGCAAAGGGAAGTCAAGCTAGCTCTGTTCCTGCTGAACGTCTGGTGGGGCAGTGAAAATCATATTTATTTTATCTGATATTTTGTTTGTACAATTGACTTTTAGAGTGATATTTAAAAGGCTTGCACAGCCCATCATGAATCCCGAGTTCCCGTAAGTATACCTACCGGGTCAAACTCAACTCTTGTGCAATGAGAGAAAGACATTTGGTATATGTTCTGAGCAGGCAAACGTAGAGGCCTTTTATCATCATCTCCCAGGATCAGTAGGCCCATTTCATAGATTACCAACGTCAGAGAGAGGCCACAGAATAGAATTAGTTGATCATTTCTTGACTGGCTGAACATTATTGGTGAAAACATATCTCCAAGATTTTCAATAGAGAGTGCCAACATACTGCTGGATAGTGGGTGTTAATAAATGGCCATTTCTGTTCCTTTTGTTTAGTCTCAAAGACAGGAAGCATTACACATATATACTGAATTTCCACAGCCCCAAAGCAGCATGGCTCTGGCCTAGGCAGGTAGGAAATTCTGGGAATTATAATTGTGGAGAACTTTTCTCTTTAGAATCTGTAAGGAGGCGTATCGCAGGTTTAGGAAAGGGTTTTATTCAAGATTGGCCAGTAGTGCCAGCCATATACAGTGGACCTTCGACTTACAGACGGCTCCACTTACAGACTTTTCGAGTTACAGACTTCTCTGGCTGCAAAATTTAGGTTCAACTTGCAGCCGGAGAATCGACCTACAGACTGGGAAAAAAAACACAAAATGAAACAAAAACGGCCGGTTACGGATTAATCGGTTTTCAATGCATTGTAGGTCAATGCAGCTTTGACCTACAGACTTTTCGACCTGCAGCCACCATTCCAATATGGATTAATTCCGTAAGTCAAGGGTCCACTGTACAGCAATACATGTAAGGACAGTCTACAGAACCAAAGAGAGTGCATCGCTATATGAGTACAGTATAGGAAATACACAAATGGCCATAAAATGAGTTACAGTGGTGCCCTGCTAGATGATTACCTTGCAAAATGGTTTATTCACTGGACAATGAGTTTTTGCGATCACTATAGCGCTTCGTAAAACGGTGTTTCCTATGGGCGATTTTCACTGGATGATGTTTCGGTCCGTGCTTCACAAAATGGTTTTTTTGGGGACCATTTTTTGCAAGATGACGATTTTGACAGCTAGGTCCGCGACTCGCAAAACGGGTGTTTTCAGGACCGATTTTTGCAAGACAGCAATTTTGACAGCTGATCCACGCTTCCCAGAATTGTTTTCCTATGGGTGATTTTCGCAAAAAGACGACAATTTTCCCCCATTGGAACGCATTAAACAGATTTCAATGCATTCCAATGGGGAACCGCATTTCGCAAGACAATGTTTTTGAAAAACAGCAATTTTTGCAGACCGAATTAACATTGTCTTGCGGGGCACCACTGTATTTAAATTGATCTGTTCCCTGTTTACATCAGTGTTTCTTTGAACTTTCTTTCCCAGGACGTTCCTTTGAAATTGCTTTCTCAGGATGTTCCCTTGGGTATTCCTTCAGGAAGAACACAGACTATTTTATTGCTTCAACATTTGGAAGATGTGTCTCTGCACTTCTCAGAACATTGCTGTTTTCCCATGGTTTATTGAGGGACACTGTTACTGGACTTTTGTTATACATATGAAATTCATTTGCTATCTTTATATAATTGCTAAATCTTAATATATATAATTATATTTCAAAGTTGCAATGAGGGTGATCTCCACATATTCCCCCCCCCAAAAAAAACCACACACCTTTCCCAAACTCTTGCTTTGCTACCTGTGATACTCTGCATATAAAGAGAGAGAGAAATCAAGGTTCTTGGTTGCATGGAAAACCTCC